TGGTATGAACCGGAGGTTCTTGGAATGTGAAGACCAATATCTTTCTCCGAGTGGACCGGACTGAAGCGGTGTACATCATCACATCGACTAATCGATCCTGTCTTCCATGTCATCTCTTGCGTACCTTCTATGAGGACGTCGCACTGCGACAGAATTGGGTGCTTCCAATCGCGGCATCGAAGAGTGATGGAAAACTTGTGCCTCACTTGCGAAGGAAGGACGTTGTAAAATATTCTATAGCTGCCCTGAAGTCAGAGGAAAAAAGTGAACTTTTTTGCACCCCCCCCCCTGCTTACACCACATACACTCGCTTTTGAAATCGTTACTTACGAACCTTCGCTTTTCCCATCGCGAATTGCCGAGGACGCCATCATCTGAGGGTCAACCTACTGCGAGCATGGTCACGTGGAGCCTTTACCCCTCCTGTTGTGTGGGCTGATATCTTCGTCTTCGAACAATTGAAAATGAAAGAGTGATCACAAACACCCGGTCTCAAGCCAAATCACTTGCGTGCGCCATATCCCGGTCCCAAAATGTGCCCTACAATTCCGCAGCTGGAACCTGCATGCAGGCGTGATCTCACCTCATCTCATCCACTCATCCACTGAATAGGAGCTGCTTCAACGTCGAATTCGCTTTATGTTACTCGCTCTTTTACAAGGCGGAAAAACCAGGCATTTGCAAGCTTACCCTGTCCACATCTTGTCAGCCTAATTGTCACGATCACACTGAAAGATGAATTTTTACCCCGTGCAAGGAGCTGCGCGCACGGTCCTACTGGCAGGAGTGTAGCACTCCTGGCATCGGAAAGGAGCGATACGCACTTCACAGGGCCTCACCACTTTTGAACGGGGATAACCCTCATGAAGTGCAGGCGTGTACTTGTACTCTTCTTGATCGCTTATGGGGAGCAGCTAGCAGTTCACAACTCAAGTAATTCTTAGATGGATTTTCAAGGTACAACGAAAAACGCTGTTTGAGCGTTTGCTCAAATCGCAGACGAGTACTAAGCAAGAAGACCCCGTGGTTGGACGAGTCTACTTCCTTATAATGACCGCGATAATTATAATGAGCGACAACAGCGCTTCTGTTCCATGCTCTTCTTCCCATAGCATCGTTTTTCGCTGGAGCGCAGACTTTGAAAGCGGCGTTTGGGGGCTCAATCACTGGAGAAAGAATGTGTCGATGAGCAACTTTGCGCTCAAGCGCTTTTACCTTACAACTTTCAGTCGTGAAACTGGCAGAAGGTTGCCCGTTGCGACGACGCGGGCGATCTTTCTCACATAACCGCTTACATTTCCATATGTGATCGCAGACCGTTCCTTTACAATTCATCAAAACTGCAATTCCAGGGCAACACAGGAAGAAAGTGCCGACTACAACGTCGACAACAAGTACAGCTCGTACGACCACTACAACCACCACAACCACTACAACCACCACAACCACTACACCAACTACAACCACTACAACCACAACTTTAACTACAAAACCTACCACTACATCAAGTACAACTACGTCAACTTCGACATCATCTCCAAAGAGACCTATAAGTTCTGTTCCAACTAAAACCTTGTCCTCATCAACATCGTCCACAACAACGACGACACCTACAACTACGACTAGAACCACTACCACCACAACTACCACCACGTCTACAACTAAAACCACTCCCACCACCACTACCACCACCTCCACCACGACCACAACGCGACCGGCCACTTTGCTAACATTTAAGCTTGTAACCACAACCTCTTCCACAACAACCACAACAGTGAGCACTACTCGTTCCGAAGAGGATGCTTGGTTAGACTATTATGACAAGCTTGTGCCCATTCCTACCCCGGCAGAGCCCGAAGAACCTCTACTGAGCAAAGATAGCTGCTCAGTAGCAGCACGTTATAATAAGGAGAAAGATGAGTGCGAATGCCTTCCACCTTACAAAGATGGCACAGAGGTGTACGAGGAATACCGAGGTCTACCCCGAGTAAGTTTTTGAATATGGATTCCTTTTCCCAAAGCAAAAACCACTCTATTCTATGAACCGGTAGGTTTGGGTGACGCTTTGTTAGGTTTGCACGTTTATTTTCAAGCGAAATGCTTCGAAGGTGATAGGGAAGGAGGAGCGAACCCTTACTAGCGGAAAAAAACTACCCGTTTCTTGCACTATCAGTCTTTATATTGGTTGGAGTGTGCAGCATTGGGGGGGTGGATCAGCGCCCGCGATCCCTATCGCAGGCTAAAAAAGAAGCTTGTATTAGCTTAGATCATGGTTGAAAGTACAGCTGACGAAGAAAAAGAAGCCAAAGCCAACAGTTTAAATGATTGAATAAGGTTCTCATGTACGGTTTTGAAATTGTAGCGAGTCAATCAAACACGTGGCGAGATCTCTGCAATCTCAGTCGCCACTTGCTGTGACTCATTTCTCGATTAGCGTCGATCACGCGCTAAGCGGAATTTTAATACAAATGTTTGAAGGTGAAACTTGCTGACGTTCGCCTTCTGAGGCGGAGTCAGCTCACGGTGCTGGGGTAAGCGCGACAAAGAGAATTGTGATTCGCCGCGCCAGTGGGCGTCGCGTGCGACATCGCGTCCGGTAATGACGACGATTTTAGGTGGTAGTGGTCGAGAATAGACAATGTATGACCAGAAATAGACATAAGTTTCTATCGTGTTCTTGTCTACATAAAATCCAATGCTCCTTCGAAAGCGTAGTGCAAATCAAGGAAACGTCACGCCCACTGCCGCGCGCGACGAAGCGGCAGTTTACGATTCTCTTGCCTGTCTCCCTAATTGCTGAGCTTCGAACTTTATCAAGGCGCTTTTGAGGCAGTGAATAGTGGGATATTCCTCTGACTACAAGGGCTCACCGTCTTGCACTCCTGGAGATTCGTGGCACGCTCAATTGACCGTGGGCTTCGTTTTCGTCCACGTCTTTGATTTGCTGTTGAGGACTAGGCTACCTCACACACTAATCGGTGCCCTCTGTTCGGCTAACACGGGATTGAAGTAAGCTCCGAGCTATGTTGCGTACAGACTGAGTAAAGAGGTCGCACGCAGAAAGCACGAGTTAGATTACACTCTTTATGTAGATTATTCCATTTATTCAGGGTACGATATGCCTACAGTGCAAAGAAAAGTTGGGAGAAAGCAAAGCAGTGATGTTCATTCTTGACCATTCTGCGTCTGTTTTTGCAGCAGGATGGAAGCAGGTCAGCCAATATCACCATTAGCGATGCAAGAATTCTTGTTAGACCAAGTTTGGCTATGGGGCGCTTTGCAATCAGGCACCACATAGCTGAGATGTATTATACGGCGAATTCGGCCCTGTGGTCAAACTTACCTTCACTTTTCGAGGACGGCTACAAAAATATACGTTCATGAACTTGTCGGTTCTAAATTAGGCTTTCCACACGTGTCGCTGAGGCGTCCTACTGCTGCACACATCCCATTCCCTGATCTGCCCTGTGAAATGGTGGGACGCTCCATAGCTCGCCTCAAATGGCATAAGTAAGCTTGCTAATGGAAGCTAGCTACAGTATCAGTGATTGAATCAATTGCTTACAACTTGTTAAACAATCGCCATGCATATGGAACGCAGTCAATTTGGCGGTCGGATATGGTGCCAGTACTAATACTACACGATGAATGAGTGGCGCTTCAAGTACTGAAAGCAAGCGGATTTTCTAAGCTTCCACTGCCAGCTATCTAGCTAGCTAGCTAGCTTATCCATTTCTATCACTTCGTGTCAGCCACCAGACATTCCCGTCTCACGCCCTGTATCACATCTTGGAACTTATATTCCTCAGTTACGGCGACGGACGTGCGGTCCATGGTTTGCATTCTGGATCTTCTCCCACCCAGGCCAATCAAGCATCCTATATTACACGGACTGTAAGATGATACAGGCCAGATTCGCCTGAGGGATGAAACGCTGACTCGGACATCGACTGGCTCCTCGCAAGTCAATGTGTGGGGCATACTGAATTTTGCGGATATACGCTGCTTGGATTCTAAATGGCAGACCTCAGAAAGGATCAATCAGCGGCGAAAGCTTGACGCTTTATTCCTCATAGCCTTCCAATTCAGCTCCCAAATTCGAATCCAAAACTTTCAGAATCTTTCCCCAACATAAACGCCTTACTTTGTTCTGCAGCTCGTGGAGGTCTTGAACTACTAGAAGAAGGTTAATGTCTGGTTGAAAAGATCGAATGTGAAGTCGTTTTTCAGATCTTGAACTACATGAAAGAAGTGGTCAAGGCAATCGATGGTGTTAGAGTTGGAATTATCCTGATCAAGGATGTCCCAAAAGTTGATTTGCCAATCGAACTATACCCTGTTAACACTCTCCTGTGAGTCACTTGAATGATTTCTGCTTGTATCAGGAGTTGATGAGTTCTATAGAGAGCTCTGATTTAGAGAATTTCTGAATAAAAACAAAAAGTTCAAAGGACAGTCAACTAAACTCGGCTACTCGTTACTTCTCGCAAGAGAAGCGCTAGCGGTAAGTCGTATAGCCTTTATTCTCACTTCCGACCAGATAAACGGAGGGAAACGCTATTTTTCTCCCCTAAAATTTCACTTGGTGCCAACACTGGACCCAAAAGTTTACAGCTCGAGCGGAGCGACTGCCAGGTTGCTTCCACGATTTGGATCCATGCTACTCTGAATTCGGTCACGTTTAGGATAAAGCAATTTGAGCGCCTGATCGCTCGAGGCGCGAAGTGTGATGTCACTTTCTTCTTTCTGCATACGTTTAGTACTTATTGGTGCTCATCATTGCAGACCGGTGGGGCGGTGCCTGTGACTCGGCTGTGACGCGACTGTCATCGCTGCCGCGTCACAGCCGAGTCACACGCACCGCCCCACCGGTCTGCAATGATGAGGACTGTACTTACCTGCTTACCGCAGCTCCACATGCGCTACAACCAATATAAGGCAGAAAATTGTGTTCGTGAAAAATCAAAGCAAAACTTGGTCACATCAGAATAGTGAACAAAATGAGGAAAAACGAACATATCAGAAGTCCAAACTCCAGAAATGAACGAGCACGAACGAGCTGTCTCAACCTAGCTGCTAAAGTAAGTGTTACACTTAAGCACAGCGTAACACCACAAAGAAGAAGAAAGCCGCAGTATTCAGTAGGTCACTGCTCATCTGAATTACCAGTCGGATCGCCCGGCTAACGCCGAGCTCTCCTCCTTCTTGGAAGCCCTTCGCCGAGCTCATGCAACTCGCTTTGAAAGCCTTACTTCTCAGCTCATGAAAGAAAGGAGCAAAGTCAGGCATAAGCAGGGCGATACTACTGTCTTAGGCATTTATGATGCTCTCATGGTGACTAACCGCTGTCTTCTAATCAAATAAATGTAGAAACGCGCCATATGATCGCAGGGCACTTTCATAATGAAAAGTTCAAAATCTGGTCATGGATAATCGATTACTCTCCTCCCCATCTATGACATCATGGATGCTTCGGTCTCCGCAGTCGCTGCGTGCTCCTGTTCAGGCGAGCGTCGGTCGCGCCAATATGGTACCCCTTCACCTCACCTATCCCCAAACTAACCTCAGCTATTCCCCGCTCAGCCACCCTACAGGTCACGCTCAGCTGCTACGCGAATAGAAAAAAAAAAAAAATAGCACTGTGCAAATGGCTCTGCAGTGCACTAAATGGTTGTGTTCACTCTAGTTCTCTGCGAACGGTTGGGTGTGTTAGCCAGTATGAGTGTGTCACCATATCAGAGCCGTTCTCTGCCTTCTTGTTGAAACGCGCATGCGACAAAAATTGGTAGAAAACGTGTAATACGAACGATATGATACAGTATTGTCACTTGCCCGCTTCAACACGGACTGTAGAACGAAGTTTGGCACCGCGCCAGCAAGCCGCAGCCACGCACCACGTCCGGCAGGCGAACTACATATATGTTGTGAAGGATGTTATGGCCTCAACAAGCTAACCCACAAATTTGATAATGCAACATTAATCGGTTCACTTTCGATTGCGGTCGATCCATTTTCTTCTCATCTTATCGCAACCGTAGACGCCTTACCGCCGCAGTCGCTACGTGCTACTGATCGCGGATTCGCCGTACTCATCTGGTACGTCACCACATCATCCCACTCACCCACTTAACCATCGCACTCCTCGCACGTGGCGTGATCACTACCACGTGTACGCTATTGCGACATAGGACACACTCCCCCGCCGCTGCTCTTACCACCGCCCTGCTCGTGCCACGTCCAGCTTCCAAGCGAGCAGCTCGTGTAATAGCTAAGATTCTATCACAGTGGTTGTCGTCTTAGTTCGTTGATGCGACATATCTTGCAGTTTTGCTAGCGGTTCTTTACCTTTTCTCTTCCTGCTTCCTGCTCCTACGCTACATACCGCATTGGTGTACCCAGTTTGCCCGATCCAATCCCTCTGCCTGCCTCTCTGCAAGGGCTCAAATTCGACGGAGCACGCGCAAAGTAGTGAGGATAGGAGAAGGGGTCACTCGGTACCCACTCCCATCTTCCTCACCTCACACCATTCCGTACTCGCCACTCCCCTCCCCATCTTGCCTTTTGCACGCGCTCACGTCCAACTGCCACACGAGCAACCCAAGCAATGGCTCGGAGTGTGGTGGTCATCTTATATCGTAGAGTGTTGTCATGACTAAAACAACTTTTCAGTTCGTAATGGTAACATGGGATTAGCCAGCGGTTTCTACCGGTTGTTTCTCGTCCTTATTGCGCGTTCTACTCCAAGCGCGCGCTACGTACCCCTCAGTGTACCCTCTCTTGGAGCCCTTCACTCTGCCTTCCTCACCATCAATGTGCCCATACCTGCTGAGCACGTGCAGGAGAGGGAGGCAGGGCGACTGAGCACCTCTGCCCCTGCCCCACACGAGCACACGTCCAGCTGCCACGGCAGCAGCTCGTGCAATGGCTCGGAGTGTACCGAATGGTTGTCTTATATAGCGGAGGCTGTTATCACAATCAAATCATTGGACTGCTACATCCTCAGGGCACAGCATTCGATGGGGATTTTGGTCGAGCTTTTACGACACCCATTAACCCCCCCCTTTTTTTTTTCAGGGGCTGACGACGCCCCTAAGGGAATCCCAACCAATGCTGTGCCCTTTACATCCTCCCAATCGGTTACCGGTTTGCCTAGCGGTCGTTTTCTCCTCCAGCGAACTCGAACCCGTGAAGCATTTTGCGGACGGACAGACATACATACATACATACATACATACAAACATACAAACCGACACACAAAGTTACTGGTTTATAGAATGAAAGGATTGTGGCCCCATAAATCGATTTGGTCGCCCGGAAATACAATATAATAACTGGGGGAAGCAGACTTGCTTTACGAGTGATAGGCTCAGGGAAATTGGCTGAGAAACAGGTAAACAAGTATCGGCCAGCCTTGGTACCGCCGCCAACCAAAGTTAGGTTGCGTTCATACTTTGCGGTGGCGTACGCTGCCGCAAAGTATGAAAGCAGCCTTATTCTCGAAAAAGCCGAAGTAGCTGCTACTTTGATCCAAACAACGAATCCAGGACGTAGTAGTCAGGCCCTTTACTTGAAACAAATTGGCTCAGAATCAGTAGTTGCACAGCGAGAAAAAGACGCACGCAGGTAACAAATAAAATTCCATGAAGCAGCCCGGGTATTGTGAAGGGGAGGGGAGGAACGAGATCTTTTACATTTAGCTCTCGAGATTGTGGACAGGACAGGTCAGCTCAACTGGGTTTTGGGATCGGCTAGCCAATTCTGGGAGACAAGTTCCCCAAGGCAGTACTAGTGTGGTGCAGTGTTGTGCTGAAACAATAAAAATTGGTGGAAAGTCATAAGCGAAATTCTGTCCACGATTGGTAACACCTGTTCATCGAAACTACATATCGACATCTTTGTTTATATGGACCAGACTAGCGCATTTCAATAGAAAATCAAATTGCAGAATGATACTTTTCCTGAATAAAGAGAAAACCTGTAGCATCCACTTTTGACTGGACGTTGAAATATGTGGAGAAGCTTGAGAATCCACAAAGAGTCCTCTTTCTCCTACCACTACAAGTCCTCAAGGAAATAACATTAGACTTGTTCAGAAGGAAAAGACGGATGTCAAAACTGTTGTTCTGCTTTCGGACGGTGGGGCAGATACGTGTTGGCAGTACTGGATTTGTGATTCGACTGATGAATGGATTCCGTTTATGACTAACCAGTTGGAACAAGCGACCTTGGTGAGTTCACAAACAATAGAATTTATTTATTTACTTAGTTGTTAATTTATTTATTAGCACCAAACGTGTGCCATCGACAGTGAAAACACGACTGTAGTACACAAAACAAAGGAAGAACACACCGAATACAAAAGAAACAAACGAACCACTAGATATACCAAACAAATGGTGGGCATGCGATAAAAGGAAGTCATACAAGCCAAGTAGAATTCAAGCAATAAAACTCGCCATACAATGAAAACTTCCCTCCCACACTATACCTCGGTCAGGTCATAAGATAAGGTGAACTTGGTGAGCCATGTGGTCCTGCGTTAGAGGAAGAGAAAAGGTTACACATATCTAGTACGTATAATTAATGAACTGTAGGCGTATGCATTTGTACTAGAGAAGGACGACATTTCTCCACTAAAGCTATTAAAAAAGGTGGGATTAGTATAGATATGTAAGAGGAAGGATCAGCCTGAGCAACGCAACTAGCCAGGGCTATTCCGAGGCGGGCCCAAGTAGATACCTCTTTGATCTAAATACGAACCTCAGGCGTAAGACCCTGGCCCAAGTGAAACTAGATAAACCGTCACTTGTTGTTGATCCTAGCTCTTATAGTAAGGAACAAAGATCGTTAGCGCCATTTAGCGCTCGAGGCAAGACACACGAGCAAATTCTCGGAGACGATCCTGTAAAGCAGGAACACTAGCAATATTATAGGCATGGCAACTGAGAACCAAGGTGTTGGATATGGGTGAGAGATGACAGAAGAGAGATAACATGGAGGCAAGGTAGTGTAAAGGAAAGACAAAAACTAGATGTGTCCACATAGCGCATACAGTAACTACGCTTATATTAGCATTTTCACTGAAAGTCGCTCACATGAAGTAAATTCATGAAATCTATTTCTATAAGCGCTTTTTTGAAACGTAATGTATTCTATTGCTGAATGACATTAATGGGCAGCTTGTTGAGCCAGATGGACGTTCTATAGAAAAACGAATTTCTTGTAGTGTTATGTTGGTAACCAAAAGGACAGGAAGATCTGGAAACAGCAATGAAAAAATTAGATCCGCAAGGGTCCCCAACAAGAGACATTCTTCTTCCAGGACCAACTCTCTCTTAATCTTGGCATGGTTGTGACGTCAAATTAGTGTTGTACTTGAGCCGACCAAGATTGTTAACGTTTATTAGGCCAACGTTTCGGCTTCCTCGCCTTCGTCAGAGCCTGAAAGAGTCCGATACAGATGTGATTTGCTCTCCCAGACGCCTTAACAAAACGTTCTTCCCTGATCCACAGCGTGGGAGTGGCTAGTAAGTAATTCCAGGCCTACCAGTTGAACCCGGTAGGTCCCAGGCCAACTTCCGCTAGTTAGTGGGCTGCTTACTGTTATCCCACCTAAGTTCCTGTTCTCTCGCCCCTCATCTCTGGCCTCTTGCCTCTCGCTTCTTCGTAGGCTCGTCTAATCAGCAAAATTAAGTACCGAAAATGGTCTCACTTAGGGTGGTCCTAGTATAACTTACAATGGCTCATATTAAGGCCTATTCGACACATATAAAATGAAGCTGGACTCTGCAGCTCCAATTTCCCAGCATATCCCAACTGGGCGATCCTGTATAGGTGGCGAAAGAAAAAGTGCGATGGACTGTCCAATTATGACAGATGCACTAAAAGAACGGTGGGATGGGCTCGTAAGACTCTCACGACCTAGGGAAAGACCTGCTGCAAGATGGAGCGATGCCCTCGCCAACCACGTAAGGCTGCTGAAAGCTGTGTGATAGATCAGATCCTCATCTCATAGACTCCTGTGTCAAACTTGGATGGCAAGCGCAAACAACGTAAATGAACGGTTGTATGCTGGTGCTCGCACGTAAGTGACGACAGGTGGTATAGTGACAAGTGGTAATTGTATACCCTGCAATCGTGAAATCCGCAGTTTGGGAAACAAGGAAACAGCAGTGAAATACGTTCAATTCCAGATACGGAGAGCAGGGGTGCAGTTCATTTATGTAGCAGTAGGAGAAGAGATCAATCCGAAACATTGGAGATACAATACAACAAAATACGATATTATAGCAATTGCTGGAGGAGAACAGAACGTTATTTATGCCGGAGAATACAAGGTCTAGTTTCCTGCAATTACATTTTGTGAACTTTTCAAGTGCGGAGCTCTTGTTTGTGTTTCCAAAAATGCCGGTTTCTCTTTGTTTCCAGTCTCAAGGAGACGTTCTACTCCTACTACACTATACTTGGTGATTAAAACACTCTTTATATAGAATCTATAGAATCCATGAGATTAAGTAGGCTCGGCTGCGTACTCAACTAAACGTGGTGGCTGGCTTTCGAGGGCATATTTTCATTACAACACAATTGTGGTCGTGTCTATGTCCAACACGGAACCAGATGGCAGTCGTCTGAAACTAAAATATCTCATGAGTATCCTATATTGTGCCACGTTCAAATGCCGCGCCTACTTCGCCTCAGGGATACGGTGCGCATGGTCACTCACAGTGTACCACATCACAAGCCGAATGCGAGTGGTAAGAAGGCTAGGGCTCGTCACCTAAGTCTATGTTTACCGCGTCTTCTTTCATACGGCCCCACCCACAATATATAGATGTCTACTTCACTGTTTGTGCGGCTGTGTGGTTTCTCGCGCACGGTTGTTTGGCCACTTGTCACACGTTGGGCGTTGTGCTTGTCCAGGTTAGCATCATGACGATTGGTCGGGTCACAATTCGAGAAATATCGACTGGCGCCTACCCCGACGCTCTCACAGTGGCTGTTTTCATATAAACTTGATCACCGAGCGACCACTATTGGTGGAGCAAGGCAGCAGGACGAGGACTAATCCCGCCTTCCTCACGCTAACTCCGACTGATTGCGATGTTACAAACTATACGTTCTACTACCCATAATTTCCAATCGCACAATTTGTTGAGGGGTTTCCATCATAAGTTTGCGAAATTTATGCAGGAGTTATTCATATTGAGAATATATCGGAATTGCTCTCTAGACGCAGAGAATGATGAGTTAAAAAGCGACCGGTCGGATCGCTCACTGTCGCCGGGCGCTCCTCCTGTGACACGGCCCGGTCTCTCCGGGCAAACGGGAACTTGCCGCGTACTAGGTTATGGATCGTTGAGCAAGCATATTTTTCAAGAATTGTTCTGCATCAGCCAACAACTGAAAAGCAGCGCCCTCCCTGTCAAGGCGCAGAAGCAGCAACAGAGCGTGCCACATTACAGAAGAAGGAGCGCCGGTGTTGACTAGCGATCCGAGTGTTACATTCCGAACCTACACGGGAATATAGCAGCCGTAAGATTAGCCGCTGGATCATGCTGCTTCATCATTCTCCACTGTTGAAATGTCTTGCTCCGAAATGCACCCCATGCAGCAGTAGAACGCTTTGAATGGCCCTCACTAAGGTTGTTGATGGAAGATAATTGTGGTAAGAGTGATTAAGTCAATTGCTGCTGTTCATAACATCTCTGTAAACAAACCCATGCATTTGGATTAGAGCTAGCTTAGCGGTCGTAGAGGATGTCGTCACTGATAAAAGCTTGGGAATGAGTTTGTTGGAACCGCTAAGATTGGATACATGAGCCATATCAATCTCTGTAAAAGGTGTAGCGGATTTTCCCACGTTAATTTGTCACTTTCAGCTCCTATCACTTGCTATCACCTCCTGTCACCCGCCAATAATGTTCCCGTCCCACACTCCATATCACTTCTCGAAACCTAAGGTTCTACTATTACTGTGACCTGCGTTACGAATTTGGTGACCCTCCCCTTCCGAGGCCCCTTATCGGATCTTATCAGCTGTTATCACTTTCTGTCACCCGCCAATAATGTTTCCCTCCCAACCCTAAAATACTTCTTGGAAGCAAGGCCCCCACTGTTGCGTTACCTGTGCTTTGAATTTAGCGACCCTCCCTTCCTGAGGCCCCTTTTCGTACCTTATCAGCTGTTATCACTTTCTGTCACCCGCCAATAAGGTTCCCGTCCTTCCTATATTCTTGAAACCAACGTTTCACACGAACTGCACGGACGCTATGAATTTCGTGACACACCGACAGACGCACACATAAAAACACAGACTGACAGACATACTTAGCAAATTATATATAGTAGGATTTCGATATAGTTAAAACGAATGGCGAGCTCATGTCTAGATCACTAAAAGCTTTTGAGCACGCAACAAAATCTAAACGATCAAATATTGACGAAGAAGATAGTGCTCCTTATGACGACAACGATTTTTGCAAAGCTTCTAGCTGATATTTTATTCAAGATGTGTACAGAAAAGGTCTTCTCAAATAAGACATCACTTTTGACCATGTACAGGGTTCCCGCTTGATGCGCATTAGCCGGTGCGCAAGTGCAACTTTTGAAAAACGCGGATCCCATTTGCCCCGTTTGTGGATAATGGAGCAGAAACTGCTGCTCGAAATTCTGTTCAACAATGCCCCCGGGGCCAGACATAGAGACTCGGGCGCAGCCTGCTTAGCAAGGGTTGGGCAAACTTGACATGACACGTTCGCGAACATCTACAACGAGTACAGAGTTCTTTAAAAAGCGTGATCTGTATAAATTTATTAAATTATAGAGCATTTTTTCAGGATTTGGATATGAGTATAGTAAAAAGAACAGTAGATACAATATGTACACCAATGGATAAACTATCAAAACAGAATCAAAATTCTTGACAAGCATTTTACTTGAAGTTGTTAATAAACTTGATTTAAATGAATTCGTATGGAAACGTCGTGATTACAATTGTCTACTGGTCTTTCTCCACTCCGCTGTCGAGCACCACGTTGAAAAAGCGGGGATTGGTGCGACCTCACCTCCGCTCTGAGAAGTGGTACTGCCCGCATCCCCTTCGTGGATGTCCAAAGAAGAAATCTGTAGCAGAATTGCAATGAAACATGTTATACTGAACAAAGAAGGATACACGGAAAGATACATGGGGAAAAAAGGATACATGGCAGAAAAGAGGGCAAGCGATCATAGAGACTCAAGGAACACAGCGTCGAGAGGAGAAAAGCAGAACTAGGGATTGGTGCAACCCTCACAGAAGTATCGCTTACGAAGTCCAGATCTATGATGTTGTGAATGAGGGGAGCGTTAAAGACACATGGTACGATCACACATAGTTTGGGTGTGCGTGACAGTCAGCTCCTCAGCTGTCAAAGCGTAGCGTTTCACTAAACATGCGAAGGAATGTTATCCGCATCAGGAAATAGCGTTTTACTCGTATTCCAAAGCGCAATTACAGGACTTGGCAAAGTGCCAAGAGCGCGACACGCGCCGCGCGGACGGCTGTTAGCATAAACGGGAGTCTGCGCCGCAAAAGGCATTGGGCGGAGCATGGAGGAATTAGCGTGTTTCACGGTCCTGTATCTCCATTCCTGCGCATGTTAGGACGGGGAAACCGCTACGCTTCGACAGCTGGGGGCTGATAGTCACGCACACCCAAACTATGTGTGATCGTACATGTGTCTAAGTCTAACGGAGAAGCCGATGCATTGAACGCACTGCGGCTACTCGTGTATTGAGATTGGAGCGCTACTGGCCAGTTGAATTCACATTATATTATTCCGAAAGAGTGGAACATCACTCAGGAACAACCCTTCGCAGAGCGATAAGGAGGATTCATGGCATTCGAGCAGGGTCCTGGAAATAACGCGGAGAACTTCTGGACGCGAGTTATCAACATTCCAATGGATGTAGCTCCGTTAACAAATAACGTAGAGTGGAGACCTACTCAGTTTCGGGAAGTAGATACTTTTCTTGTCTTGACGAGCACGAAATCTTTGAAGTAGCCTAACTATAGCGAGAATTTGCGGGTTGCAATTAAGGGGGGGGGGCAATAAACGAGGAAAGTTGTTGGCAGACGCGAGTTTTTCCCTCTCAGCCTCGGCTTTAGTTTCGAGAGATAACGCAGAGAGAAAACACACATGTCTTTGGGAAAGTGAGGGTGTGGTTTCCTCTTTGTTAGATCATGCATCACATGTTTGCTGTAGCTTGACTAGAGCGTAACTTGACCGTTGCGGATTTTGCTGCAGAAAGTCAGCTTCAGCAAGCTCAGTAGGCTCCCGGTGCATCTCCCCCTCATGTGCCAAATAGAAATCGATGCACAAAGGCGCTGATAAACATGTCCATGAGATGCGCCATGTATTTTATATAGGTATGTATGTTCCCTTAGTAATATTCACAGGAACGAGGCCTATGAAAAATCTTTTCCGAGTCGCTTTATGGGAACCATAAGCGTGTACTTTCTTGATATGTTATGTATTCGCAGGCAGCTGCATCGTCGCACAGCGCCAAAAAGGGTCGAGTAACCCTCTCTCTCCCATCGCGGATTCCGACGCACTTGACGCATGCTGGACCCTGGGAAGATAAACAGAAGTATTTAGACGTGAAACAAAATGTGATAGACATGCAGCTCGCACTCACACCTTGTACGGCGCGTTTTAAGAGTCATGGTGCATTATTACGTTGCTGAACGCCTTTCTGGGTTCCTAGGTCTGATTTGATGAATTGTAGCCGGCGGCTTTTCGTGAGGTGAATAAAACCTTCCTCAAGTGATAGACTAGTCGACAAACATCACAAGTGCAGGCCTCGACAGCAACAGCGACGTTTTTATGAGAGCAGAGTAAGAATGTGAAAGAAACGGGCGACGGTAGAGGTGCTCTCCCTTAAAATAACATTCAGGACAGACGGCTCGCGCTGCTGCTACAAATGCATTTCCTACCACAGAGTATCATTGGCACACTAGGAGACTGTTGGCTATAGGACTGGGGTAGAAAAAACGTGAAACTTTTCCCGTTAAGAAATTGGATCCGTCATTCATCAACCCTAGAGATGTAGGGACAGTCTTCGTTCTCTTCAGGAACTGAGCTCTACATTTTTCCAATGCAGCACTCCAATCTAATCTGAGTTCCGCAAGTTTTGGAAGCAGATTTGAGCGCAAAGCCTTGATCCGCGTTCGCCAGTATACACCTGATTGCAAATGACCATACTGGCCTATCGGCCTTCCTGTTAGGTTTGTCTGCTGATCTCCAGTGTCATGTGCTTAGTTTTCGAGCCATGACATCTGATATCTGGAGACTTTCCATAAAAA